CCCTAGCCCTAAAGTGGCAGGCACCGAGTGTGCCCCACCACATCCCACCCCTTAGCAAGTTTCTACCAAGCCCAAGCAGTCTGGACTTGGGAGGTCCACCCAAGGGAGGGAGCTCTGGGGCCCACCACCCTATATCTGCTTCACCCTAACTGGCCAGATAAGGGGACTAAAAGGAACCCTGTAAAATGCACCGGGGGCAGCTCCTCAGTGAGCTGCTGAGGTGTGCTGCTGAGATGCGCTACAATGTAGGCTGCTCCTTGTCGGGTGGGAATCCCTGCTTGTTGGTGAGCTGCTGGAGTATGCCAGCCATTGCTGTGATGTAAGTTGTTCCTGAAAGGGTCCTTGGTGAGCTACTGGGGTGCAATGGTCCTCGCTCCCACGTGGTGTCTGTGGGGGACAGCTGCTTACCTCTGCCAGTTACTGCACCCCCAAATTCATAGTCCCAATCCACAAACTGCTTAGAGCAGGATTAAAGACTCTGCAGAAGAAACTTGCTGGCTGGGTCTTTCAAGTACAGGTACTAATACCTGTAAGGTATTCTCCCATGTAAATAAACAGGAAGGGATAATAAATCAGGGCTGTGATCCAAATGCTAGCTAAATTGTTTTTTTTTAAATGCACAGAAAAATTAAATCACTTTCTGAGCTTTCTGAGTTAGTCTGGGTTGTTAAAATAGAGTTGCAGCATTCCAGCCACATTTTGATCTTTCAGACACTGGTGCTGAGTACTGAAAAGAACCCCAAGTTTACTGAAACGTTCTTCTACGTCAACTGAGTTTACACTCAGTTGGAGGAGAGACACTGCATGTTTTGCCAGGTTAGGAATGCAATCTTCAACAGCCATCCAGAACTGAATGGGATCCTCAGCATCTGCAAGCCTGTGTTTGACAATCCCTAAATACACTTGTCATTCCAGGTTGCATACATGGGATAGCTTTAATTCTAGTTTCATAATCTGTATAAACAGCAGCAATTTGTTTAGGATCCAGTGCATGAACAGCACAGAAAAATCAATTGCTGGCTGTTTACTTTTTACGTTGTACCATCTCCATTTATCAGCAGTTCTTTGAGCAGCTGTAGACCCTTCTGCATTTGCAGTTGATGATGCATGATGCTCCAACCATAAAATTGAATCCAGGAAGGTGTTCTGCACTTTGGGTATTTGGTGTTTTGGGGACTGTAAAATATCCAGTACTGTCACCAGGCATCCACTGTTTTCTGTAATGTGCTTCATGTCAATGTGCAGGTCTTCTACCACTAACAAGCTGGCAAGTTCCATTCATTCATACTCATCGAACCCATGGCCGAGCTGGGAGTACTATGCATGATATTTTACACAACTGAACCATGTATTCCACTTGGTCACAACTGGTTCAGGTGAAATTGTTGGCTAATCAACTCTCCATTCCTTCAGGTATCCCAAGAACTGTGCACAATGAGCTGGAACTTTCACTAAAAGGGACTTCATCAAAGCAACAAAGCAATCCACTTACTTGAAGGGATCTTGCCAAGTATTTCCTGCTAGAGCAACTATATGTGCATAGCAACAAATATGTACACAGCTGGACCACAGATTGCAAAGCACATCGTTCCAAACCTTCACCATGTAGCTCGCACTGTCTGTTGCAAACGCTAATATTCGCTCAAGTGG